TAAAAAAAAAATTTTAAACAAAAATAATGAAGCAAAAAGAATTTAAGCACATTTTCAGCAAAGCTAGATCACAGACATTATGTTGAAGCTTAGATTAGCGCACCGCCTAAAAATAGTTAAGAATAGTTGTGTGACCAGGCAGGCGTAATTAAATTGTTCCAATTGACTTCATTGTTGTTTGGCTTTTATACTACTCTTTGTGCGCGTTAAACATTATGGGCTTGTCTTGCGTTTACGCGCCATAATAAAATGACGGACATTGTATTCTCGACACAAGATCTAGCAGTGATGTCACAACACACAAATAAAAGTACGCCAAATGCTTATAAACATGTTGCGCAACCTTTTTATGCTACTTCCCAGCTGAAAGGTATGTGTGCTTATGTGAAATAAAAAAATCATGAAATTTTACTTCAAGGATAACCAGAAAATATTTACGACAATAGCATTAAAGCTGGTTGCAAAAACAACAATAACCCCAGTAATTGCGATGATGAATTTTAGTGGCGCAGCGTATAAATACAGGACAACAAAATCATGTGATATTTTCGTGGTATTGATTTTAGGGTAGACATCAAGGAAATGTGCGTATGTATGTAAGTATGCCATATATAAAGTGGTGTAGATTCTAAACTTGTGTGGCGGGTAAAAGTAGAATTAGAGAGCAACCGGTGGTGTGTATTACTGTACATTGTCCTCCAACAATGTATTGGAGTATAATAAAGCAATATAACAAGATATTCATAAGTAAATGTAGAGCTATATATATGTGTGTGCAAAAAACTTCAAATGACAATTTTGTGGTGGAAAAAATTATAATAATGCATTTAAAAGCAAATTGAAATGTGACATATGAAATGATAACAAAATATGCTTCAAGCAGCTAATTTCGAAAACAAAAAACTATATTTATATTCATCATAAACATACATATAAATCAGATATAATGGTATATACTTATATATGTATGTATGACCAATACCATTACCCTCTGTGTTTTTTGCATTATTAAGTAGAGAAATATAAAAAATACGTATATTGGAATAGCTCAGTGTTATTAAAACTAAATTTTAAATAATTTTAGCTGATAAAAATATATTTCTTTTTTTTTATTTTATATTTTACACTTTAATTAGATCAATTTTTTTTACTGTTAAT